GGACTAAAACTCGACACGTCAAAATATAAAACACCTTAAGGTTGTTTTTTTTTAATTATATATAAAAAGGACGATTTTGGAGAAATTCCGGCGGTATGTCAAAATAACGAGACACAACTCCCGTGTGTAGATATGTATCCAGCCATCCGAGACTAAGACGTAACTATTACATTTCTATCAATTACATCATATTTTAAATTATATTGAATATGTGTGATTTGACTATAAAAAAGTTACCCGAATGTCTATATACTCCTCCCATCAGAAAGCGAGGTATATAACCTATTGGGGCACATTAACAAATTAAGTATGGCAGATATTATAGTTTCATTAATCTACTTTAGGTGTTTATGGGCTGCCATTGTGTACATTTGTTCACTTTGGTACTTCTGTAGAAAGAATACAAATTCAATCATTAGGCATTTTTATTGTTATTTCCTTAAAGTGAAAGAAACATTTATACATGAAAACGAACAAAAAATCAACCACATTTAATTCAGTCCAAGGCAGGTATTGTGATGAAAAGTATATCTACATAAAGAGTGAGTTTAATGATATAGTATAGTGATTTAAACGCATGAATAGAATGAAAGTTTATCTCATCTACACTGATGTTGGAATGATACTAAAGACGTAGATATCGAATAAAAAAGTGCTTTCTCGTTTTCTTAAGATCAAAGAGACTAAGACTGACATTTTCTTGTAATCGTCTCAATCTTTGCATGCTTTCCAGTCAGAAAGTATTGTACCTATCAATATGGAGAAGACTCCGATGTATCACGTTTGATTTCGTACCAGGTACTACCATAGGAGGAATATGTAAAGGTGTTACCATAGGAGGAATATGTAAATGTGTTACTGTAGGAGGAATATGTAAAGGTGTTACTATAGGAGGAATATGTAAAGGTGTAGCTATAGGAGGAATATGTAAAGGTGTTACCATAGGAGGAATATGTAAAGGTGTTACTATAGGAGGAATATGTAAAGGTGTTACCATAGGAGGAATATGTAAAGGTGTTACTATAGGAGGAATATGTAATGGTGCTACTATAGGAAGAATATGGAAAGGTGTTACCATAGGAGGAATATGTTAAGGTACTACCATAGAAGGGTTTCGGCAAGATGACTATTTTGGTTCATGTTTACTTATAAAACTGAGAAACAATTCGATCATTATGTATTAGATATGATGTCTCCTGTATGCTAATCTATGTTCTGACATATATTAGCCCTGATATAAGTGTTTTGGAATTACCACTCTAGCGCTGATGTAAGTTGTTCAGTTTTGTAATCGGGCACTTTGGCATCTATCGTCCATACCGTTGACGCTGCAGTCTAACTTGTATTTGTATAACATATCAATATATATATATATATATGTACTTTACTCGAAATATAAATGGTCTAGAGAACTAAAAACAAAATTAGATATCCATGGAACAGAATGTATATCTAGTTATTTATCTTGCTTCCTACATTTGAAGTTCCTACAATGGACACTGAGGCTGTTTTTCCCCCTTAAAAATCTGTTGGTATAAGAAAGGTTGAGAATAGGGAATGAGGTATTGTATTTCAGACATATGTATATTTGTAAACACGTGAATGAAATACCAATATGATTTTTGTAAGATTTTTAAAAGTGGAAAAAATCCCCAACCTATCAAGCGTGAGGTACCTCGGCTCGTGCTGATATTCTGAAGTAACAATCTGTTGGGTTATAATAGACCGGTACTTTAGTATGCTTTGTTTAACAAGAACAGCAGATACCTTTTATTTCATATTGAAACAAATTGTATCATTTTGAATAATACAATATCAACCAAAAAGATTTATATTGCCGAAACCCGGGATCGAACCAGGGACCTTTAGATCTTCAGTCTAACGCTCTCCCAACTGAGCTATTTCGGCTCTTTAAACGTCAAACATTCACCCGTTGGCAGGCTGATCGATCGATCGATGAGTTAGTATAGTCACCACACTTAAACATATTACGATATATCAAAATTATTGTATCACATTTTTCTTGATAGTAATAGGTGGTGACGTTCTGTCTCGAAAAAATAATTGCAGGAAAAAATAATTCTCGTCCTCTTTGAACCTAGGAATATGATAAAACTCATGATATCATGATATATCCCCTTATAATTATAAGATTTTTTAAAAAATTATCCCTTGTATAATTACAGCATAAGTATAGACCAGTTAAAGCAGTTCATACTACCTAAGTATTTAAAACATTTCACTTTATTGTTAAACTCATTCTTGATGTGGATATACTTTTCATCTTAATAACAATATAAGCCTATGATTGTTTTTGGATGGGGGCGGGTCATGTATAACTCTTGCATAATCACTAACTAAAAAAAATTGAATACTTAATTACTAAATGGGTTTCTTTTTTATTGAATTACAAAGCTGAACAAAGATATCAACAACGTCATTACAGACAGGCCAGGATTAAAATCGATACGTCAAAACATAAAACAGCTTAAGGGTTTTAAATATCAGAAAAAACATGACCCTAAAAAGCCATATTGCCGAAACCCGGGATCGAACCAGGGACCTTTAGATCTTCAGTCTAACGCTCTCCCAACTGAGCTATTTCGGCGATATGTCGCAATAACGAGACATACTTCCGGTGTGTAGGTGAGTATCTAACGTTTTTTTTATCGCCAAATCACACATATTCTATGTTACTTAAAATCTGATGTAATAGATAGAAATGTAATAGATACATCCCAAACTCGGATGACTGGACATATACCTACACACCGGAAGTATATGTTTCGTTATTTAGACATACCGCTGGAATTTCGGCAAAATCGTCCTTTTTATATATACACCCGCTCAAAAGTTAAGCACCGCCATCTTCAAATTTGAAATCTGATTGCCAACACTGCTTAAAACGAGCTCATTTTATAGAGATGTAACACACGTAAACCTTTGTGCATGATATGCACATGCCAGGTAAATTTTGCTGTTACAAGGTGACCCTACGCCTGTATAAAAACTAAGTTCACACCTACATTTTTCACAGTGTTTTCAAAGTCTTTTATCGGTTGTATACCGCGTGCAGCTATGCCTAGACGACGAATTAGTAACAATGAAAGGTGGCAAATCATTGGCATGCATAGTACGGGAATGTCATGTAGGGAAACTGGACGTAAACTCAATATTACCCACACCGTCATCAGTCGTCTAAACCGTAAGCACGTTGCTACTAGGAATGTCCAAGATCGACAACGAAATGGAAGACCCAGAAAAAACAACTGCTCGTGATGACAGAATGCTTTTGAGACTGGCTAGGCAGGAGCCAAGATCGACAAGTCGGACTCTAAGAGACAGATGACAAGTCAACGCCCGATTGTCTCTCAGCAAGTTGAAGCGGAGACTAAAAGCTGGTGGACTTTCTTCACGTCGTCCTATCCGACGTCCTCTTCTCACCCAGAGACATATCCAGGACCGATTGCAGTGGTGCAACACACGGCGCGGTTGGCCGAATATTCGGTCATGGAGACGTGTTTATTGGTCTGATGAAAGTCGGTTTCTTTTGCACGTTACTGACGGGAGAAGCCGGATATGGCGACCACGAGGCACTGCCTACCATCAACATAACATCCAGCCAGAAATTCCATTCGGTGGTGGGTCTGTGATGGTATGGGGTTGTAGTTCATATGATTGTGAACTTGACCTCGTCCAAGTCCAAGGCAACCCCAATGGTGAAAGGTACCAGAATCAGATCCTTCAAACAGAAATTGTGCCTCATTTTGATAACCATACGCTGGCGAGCCGACCCATCCTAATGGACGATAATGCCAGACCTTACCGAGCCCTTGCAGTGAGGGAATATCTTCAGCGTAACGCCATTGACACTCTTCCTTGGCCGGCGAGAAGCCCTGATCTGAATCCCATAGAACATCTATGGGATACTTTAGGCCACCGTGTGCGAGCACGAGTCCGTGGTGTGCAAAATATGCACAGGCTCTTCGGGAGGAATGGGATAACATCCTCCAAATGCAAATCAGAAGACTCATCACCAGTATGAGGAGACGTGTTGAAATTTGCATCCGTGCAAGGGGCGGTTACACCCGATACTAACAACTATTTGTGTTAACAAAGAGAGATGTATCACAAATTATTGCTTCACTTTTTTGATGATAAAAAGTTGACTGCTTTTCGTTAACATGAAAACATATTTTGGTTACTAAATTTGATGAAAAGTTTCAATTTTAAAATACTGCTGATAAAATATCAAATATTGAATTCATGTCGTCATTTATAATCTAGATTACGAGTTTAAAGTCGTACAAATTAAGAATTAACATTTTCAACGGTATTTGTGCAGAAATTATTGATTCTCAGTTATGGTCTTTTTAACCCTGTCCAAAAAAATCTGGTGGTTCTTAACTTTTGAGCGGGTGTATATAATTTGAAAAAATAAATGACGCTGTTGATATGTTTGTTCAGTTTTGTAATTCAATAGAAAGAAATCCATTCAGTAAAGAAGCATTTAATTATTATTTGATTGGAGTGGAAGCGAGAGTTATATATGAAAAATACCCCCCCCCCCAAAAAAACAAAACAAAACAAAACAAAACAAAACAAAAAATAAATAATATAATAATAATAATAGGCTAATATTGTTATTGAGATAGAAAGTATATCCACATCAAGAATGAGTTTAACAATAAAGTTAATGTTTTAATTACATAGATAGAATGAAATGTTTTATCTGATCTATACTTATGTTGTAATGATACTTAGAGGGAGATATCACCAAATAAAAACGGTCTTAACGTTTTCCAAAATTCAAAGAAGCCGAAAATTATTTTTTCCTGCAATTTTTCTTCTTTCTCTTATTTTTTTCGAGTCAGAATATCAATATCTATTACTGTACAGCAAAATATGATGCAATAATTTATATATATATGTCCACTGAGTGTGGTGACTAAAATAACTCCTGAAAGCCTGACAATGGGTGTATGTTGTACATATATAGAGCCGAAATAGCTCAGTTGGGAGAGCGTTATACTGAAGATTTAAAGGTCTTTGGTTCAATTCCGAGTTTAGGCAGCATCACTATTTTTGGCTAATGTTGTATTATTAATGAAGATACAATCGGTTTCAATATGAAATAAAAGACTTTTCGAAACGTTATGTATTAAGACCTGATGTTTCCTTTCTGCCCATTTCTGTTAAGCCCTGATTTAAGTATTTTGTATTATCTCATTAGCACTGTTGTAAGTTGTTCAGCTTTGTAATCGGACCATTTGGCATCTATCGTCTATACAGTTGATATTAAACTTTATCATTGAATTGGTATATTTCCTTTCGTTTTCTATCCCATTAGAATGTTATTTATTTGTTCGATATTGCGGTAAATGTATTCAACGTTCGTTAGCACGTATGGCGGTTTCGTTGTTGTCAACCTTGTTCCACCTGATAATATAATCCTTGTGTTCCCTTTTTATCTGCTTACATCGATTCTTAGAGTTAACTAATATTCTGTGGACATATTTGTTTGATGTTCTTGTTAAACAAAGCCTACTTAAGCCCTGGTCTAAAGTAATCCAACATGTATTGCAAATGTATTTCATTCACATATTCACAAATATACATATGTCTGAAATACAATGCCTCATTCCCTATTCTCAACCTTTCTTATACCAACAGATTTTTAAGGGTGGGAAACAGATTCAGTGTCCATTGTAGGAACTTCAAATGTAGGAAGCAAGATAAATAACTAGATATACATTCTGTTCCATGGATGTCTAATTTTGTTTTTAGTTCTCTAGACCATTTATATTTCGAGTAAAGTACAAATATATACATATTGATATATTATACAAATACAAGTTAGACTGCAGCGTCAACGGTATGGACGATAGATGCCAAAGTGCCCGATTACAAAACTGAACAACTTACATCAGCGCTAAAGTGGTAATTCCAAAACACTTATATCAGGGCTAAAATATGTCAGAACATAGATTGGCACATAGGAGACGTCATTTCTAACACATTATGTTTCGTAATTTTTTTCTCAGTTTTATAGGTAAACAGTTTATGTTATTATGAATGTTACTTTTCCAACATTATGAACCAAAAAAGTCATCTTGCCGAAACCCGGGATCGAACCAGGGACCTTTAGATCTTCAGTCTAACGCTCTCCCAACTGAGCTATTTCGGCTATACAAACAATATGCAAACACCTATTGTCAGGCTGAACAATCGATGAGACGATGTAATCATTTACATATTCCTCCTATAGTAACACCTTTACATATTCCTGCAATAGTAGTGCCTTTATATATTCCTCCTATAGTAACACCTTTACATATTCCTCCTATAGTAGTACCTTTACATATTCCTCCTATGGTAACACCTTTACATATTCCTCCTATTGCAACACCTTTACATATTCCTCCTATGGTAACACCTTTACATATTCCTCCTATGGTAACACCTTTACATATTCCTCCTACAGTAACACCTTTACATATTCCTCCTATGGCTACACCTTTACATATCCCTCCTATGGTAACACCTTTACATATTCCTCCTATAGTAACACCTTTACATATTCCTCCTATGGTAACACCTTTACATATTCCTCCTATGGTAACACCTTTACATATTCCTCCTATGGCTACACCTTTACATATTCCTCCTACAGTAACACCTTTACATATTCCTCCTACAGTAACACCTTTACATATTCCTCCTATAGTAACACCTTTACATATTCCTCCTATGGCTACACCTTTACATATTCCTCCTATAGTAACACCTTTACATATTCCTCCTATGGCTACACCTTTACATATTCATCCTATGGCTACACCTTTACATATTCCTCCTACAATAACACCTTTACATATTCCTCCTACAGTAACACCTTTACATATTCCTCCTATGGTAACACCTTTACATATTCCACCTACAGTAACACCTTTACATATTCCTCCTATGGTAACACATTTACATATTCCTCCTACAGTAACACCTTTACATATTCCTCCTATAGTAACACCTTTACATATTCCTCCTATGGCTACACCTTTACATATTCCTCCTATGGTAACACCTTTACATATTCCTCCTACAGTAACACCTTTACATATTCCTCCTGTAGTAACACCTTTACATATTCCTCCTATGGTAACACCTTTACATATTCCTCCTATGGTAACATCTTTACATATCCTGTGGTAACACCTTTACATATTCCTCCTATAGTAACACCTTTACATATTCCTGCAATAGTAGTGCCTTTATATATTTCTCCTATAGTAACACCTTTACATATTCCTCCTACAGTAGTATATTTACATATTCCTCCTATAGTAGTACCTTTACATATTCCTCCTATGGTAACACCTTTACATATTCCTCCTATTGCAACACCTTTACATATTCCTCCTATGGTAACACCTTTACATATTCCTCCTATGGTAACACCTTTACATATTCCTCCTACAGTAACACCTTTACATATTCCTCCTATGGCTTCACCTTTACATATTCCTCCTATGGTAACACCTTTACATATTCTTCCTATAGTAACACCTTTACATATTCCTCCTATGGCTACACCTTTACATATTCCTCCTACAGTAACACCTTTACATATTCATCCTACAGTAACACCTTTACATATTCCTCCTACAGTAACACCTTTACACATTCCTCCTATGGCTACACCTTTACATATTCCTCCTATGGCTACACATTTACATATTCCTCCTACAGTAACACCTTTACATATTCCTCCTATGGTAACACCTTTACATATTCCTCCTACAGTAACACCTTTACATATTCCTCCTGTAGTAACACCTTTACATATTCCTCCTATGGCTACACCTTTACATATTCCTCCTATGGCTACACCTTTACATATTCCTCCTATGGTAGTACCTGGTACGAAATCAAACGTGATACATCGGAGTCTTCTCCATATTGATAGGTACAATACTTTCTGACTGGAAAACATGCAAAGATTGAGACGATTACAAGAAAATGTCAGTCTTAGTCTCTTTGATCTTAAGAAAACGAGAAAGCACTTTTTTATTCGATATCTACGTCTTTAGTATCATTCCAACATCAGTATAGATGAGATACACTTTCATTCTATTCATGCGTTTAAATCACTATACTACATCATTAAACTCACTCTTTATGTAGATATACTTTTCATCACAATACCTGCCTTGGACTGAATTAAATGTGGTTGATTTTTTGTTCGTTTTCATGTATAAATGTTTCTTTCACTTTAAGGAAATAACAATAAAAATGCCTAATGATTGAATTTGTATTCTTTCTACAGAAGTACCAAAGTGAACAAATGTACACAATGGCAGCCCATAAACACCTAAAGTAGATTAATGAAACTATAATATCTGCCATACTTAATTTGTTAATGTGCCCCAATAGGTTATATACCTCGCTTTCTGATGGGAGGAGTATATAGACATTCAGGTAACTTTTTTATAGTCAAATCACACATATTCAATATAATTTAAAATATGATGTAATTGATAGAAATGTAATAGTTACGTCTTAGTCTCGGATGACTGGACATATACCTTCACACCGGAAGTGTGTAACGTTATTCAGAAATGTTTTATCTGATCTATACTTATGTTGTAAAGATACTTAGAGGGAGATATCATTAAACAAAAACGGTTTTTATCGTTTTCCTAAGTTAAAGAGGCCCAGAATTATTTTCCTGCAGTTTTTTTTAGTCAGAATATCATCACCTATTACTATCAAGAAAAATGTGATGCAATAATTTTGATATATCATAATATGTACAAGTGTGGTGACTATACTAACTCATCGATTGATTAAGCAGCCTGGAAATGGGTGCATGCATTTCATATATAGAGCCGAAATAGCTCAGTTGGGAGAGCGTTAGACTGAAGATCTAAAGGTCCCTGGTTCGATCCCGGGTTTCGGCAAGATGACTTGTTTTGGATAATATCGTATTTTTTCATCTTTGTTCAGTTTTGTAATTCAATAGAAAGAATTCCACTCAGTAAATTAGCATTTAATTGTTATTTGGTTAGAGTTGAAGTTAATGAAAAACGTTTTAATCAATCATAGGTTGATATTTTTATTGAGATGAAAAGAGTTTAACGATACAGTATAGTGATTAAAATGCATGAATAGAATGAAACAGTTTATCTCATCTATACTGACGTTGGAATGATAAGAAGGGGGTAGATTTTAAGAAGTTAAGAATTATTTTTGTCTGTAATTGTTTGGGATTTTTCGGTCAGAACATAGATACCTATTACTAAGAAAATATTGAGTTTAACAATAAAGTTAATGTTTTAATTACATAGATAGAATGAAATGTTTTATCTATTCTATACTTATGTTGTAATGATACTTAGAGGGAGATATCACCAAATAAAAACGGTCTTAACGTTTTCCAAAATTCAAAGAAGCCGAAAATTATTTTTTCCTGCAATTTTTCTTCTTTCTCTTATTTTTTTCGAGTCAGAATATCAATATCTATTACTGTACAGCAAAATATGATGCAATAATTTTGATACATCGTAATAAGTCCAAATGCGGTGACTTAATTAACTGATCGATTGATTGGTCAGCCTGCCAATGGGTGTATGTAACACATATATAGAGCCGAAATAGCTCAGTTGGGAGAGCGTTAGACTGAAGATCTAAAGGTCCCTGGTTCGATCCCGGGTTTCGGCAATATGACTCTTTTTTTTTAATATTGTATCATTCGTTATGATGTGAAATGAATTAAAGATGATTTTATCGAAAGGTAATGAACTAGACTTGATGTATCTTTAGTCCAATCTAAGTTCTGAGTTCATTCAGCCCTGATAAAAGCTTTACCACATCAGCACCATTCTTAGTTGCACAGCAATGTGACATTCTGGCATTGATACCGCTGACGTTGTGGTTTTTCTTGTATTTTTACTTTATCTTAAACTTGTGATATAATTGTGATATTATGTTATCTATTCTGTCATTTTTCCTTTGTGTTTTATTTCCCCAATGCTACACAAATATTTTTTTCAAATCTACATGATAAAACAACATTAGGGAACAGACAGCAGATGCTATTGATAACTATCTTGGAACACGTTTAACAAATTTAATTTTCTCGGCTTATAACTCAGTTGTGGGGATCGTTAGATTGAAGATTCCTTTGGATCGCCAAGTAAAAAAATCTAAAAAATATATTTGTTAAGCTGTTTATGATCTGACATCACTATTCGTGGCCTTGACCTGTCTGTAACGGCATTGGTGTATTTTTGTTCAGCTTTATAATTCAATAGAAAGAAATGCAATTGTTAATCAGATATTTTATCATTATTATTAGCATTTCGTACAAGTGAAAGCAAAAGTTATGCATGACAACACAGAGGCATGGACTACATGTCAATCAATCATACACTAAGAGTGTTATTGAGATGAGAAAGTAGATTAAAATCAATGATGAGTTTAACCATAGGGGTAGTGTAGTGCTTTTTAATTTATAAATCTAATTGTCTGATCTATACTTGCTTAGATACTTAAGATGTAGATGTTACCAAATAACTTAGTTTTCTGTTGTCTTATATGGAAAGAGGTGTTAAGAAGTACATGTCTATTTGGGCGTCTTTTTGTCAACCTGTGGATTTTTTTATCGTCGTAACATCTACATCATTGTGAAGAAGAATGCAATACATTTGATGTGCTAGGCACTACTGTAGGAATATTATGGAAACAACTTGCCAATAGGTTTATATATTATACTTGGGAGTGTTAGATGTGGAGATGTTAAGGTCACTGGTTCGATCTCGGATTTCAACATAGAATGACTTTACTTACTTAATTTTTTAGGATTTTGCATCGATTTTGATATATGTTCCTTTATCACAGAATAAGTCTCATGTTCAGAATTGTATTTCCAAAACAAAACAATTGTCGTTTTTTATTGAGAAACATTGGGTATTTATACATGTATCTTACACTCAATATGTTTGTATGAAAATATCCTTTATGACTACTATAATAACGTTATTACAAGATAGTGCTAGTGATTGTGAAAATATCAGCAGCATTATATCAGTTGTCCCAAATACATGAAATATGGCTTAGTTATTTCCTGTTCCACATGTAGTACCCGATATTATGTAATATTCTGGATAATATTTAACACGTAAGATTAACCCTTTCTTCCATTGACTTGGTATCACTTTCTCGAAATCTGATATTCTGGTTCAGAGTATGTATCTATTCTGTTCAGCGTTAGGAAAGATGTGAGACAACATCTTCTACTTTGATATTTTGGTGGGAGACATCGGTGATATTGACACACAAGACAATCGATATCGATCATCCAGGACAGGACCTAGGTATAATTCTCCTGTTCGGGCGGCGTGAACAGCATGCTTCCTCCGTTACGTATGGATTAATGTGTAGAGAAACAATTTGCTGAAACATTAATATAGTTTTATTGAGCAATACACATTTATATGCCCATTACTTCAGAGTCTTCATATTGATTCTAAATCGATTATTGATAGGAACATTTTAATGGCGGATGTACACCGCTGATGCGAGATTATAAATTACACAACGACATTTATGGTGGTCTGCGGATTTAGTTCCAAGGAACAAATACATAGCAGAATGAAATATTTATTTCAACCTAAGACTCACACATGCGGTATCTAGCCAATACAGTATGTATAACGGAGCCAACCAAGGAAACCAATACTGATAACAGATGTAGCTTGGTGACAAACGCTCCAGATGATTTCCCTACCGTAATCATGCCATTCCTAGATAGTTACATCACTACTTTTTCAACCTTTTGGTTTACAGTTGACTTCACACCAGAGTTTCCTTAGATGAAGGCCGATGAACCCTATTTGGAAGTAATATGGTCGCCATCATGATCTAATTGGGAAATATTTTATTTCCTTGTACGAAATGAAGTTCGGTGTGTCACGCTTTAAATGGTTATACGAACTAAGAAATATCTTCGTGTGGTTTACGAAGAAATTAGACTCCGGTTTAATTATATTATCGCTTAACAGTAAACGTTCTTAAACAGCAATTTCTAATTTCCTCTTTTGTGTAACATTCATTAAATAATGTTTGATACCTAATTATTGTGTTTCAACATTTCTTGATCACTATGTACTACATACGAAATATAGTATCAAATGAATCATTATTTTGATTCTTCTTATTACATGTATTTTTTTAAATAAACATTTACGATTTGTGGCTGTACTGAGTCAAGGTGATGGAAACATATGACCCAAAATGATTGGTCACTTGTATTTTGTAAAGTAGTGTGCATTAAGAGTGATCGATTATCTTAACACATCCATCACACCTGTCATATGTTATCTTTTCAGCCTGGAGTCGGCTTGGTGTCTGTTAGAGTTTTCATCATCGCCTTAGGTATGCATCTCCACGATAACACATGCGTTACGGAACAACCACTAGCTCAAGGCAAAAACTTATGTTTTACAAATCTTCACAGAGCCGAGAATTCAGTCTATTGAAAGAGTTTTGATAGTCTCTAAAGACTCTATTTGTGGTTCTATGAATTATTTTAGTCTACACTGAAACATTTCATCTTATGTGCATGAGTTTGATGATGGGACCACAAGATTTTTATCAGAGCAGTTTTGATGTATAACAAAGATATTGTATTCTCTATAATATGGTGGGTTTCTACTAGAGTGACTCCAATTTACAGCAAGACATCTGATCTTGTATACTGGCATTACTGCTGTGGTGTAGCCATTGCTTTCTGTCACAGCAGTTTAAATTTACAATAATGACAATACATCTGATTTTCTATATTGTTTCAGTATCCCTATCTAGTCAATGCTTTAATTAAGGCGCTTCAAACTAAAGAAAATAAAATTTTATTTTGTTGGTTTCATTGTCATGACGTAGTCAAGGTTTTCTACGGGAAAAGTTTTAATTCAAACGACATCACATCTGATTCTGTTGATAGGTTTTCAGTTTTTTTCAGTTGAATTTTTATCCAGTGGTGACGTATATATCAGGGAACACAATAACCTTGGACATTTCTGATACGTCTGTACGCATTTCATCTTCCACATCATTTTTTCCTTCTTTTTAAAATTTAAAAATTCCCGTTGGTATCTATGCGTAGTTGTCTGAAGTATGTGATAATATGATTACTGATGAGTTGTGTTGGTGTATATGAAAGGGGACGGTACAGAACAAATTAAGATCCTTTCTTGGGTGTTTTGCTGATGTTTTGATATGAGACTGAATTTATCGAAAAATATTTATCAGAACCAATAAAAAAGACTATTGGTTATTTAGATTTATTGATCTTGTGCCATGCTTATACCACGAAGAAGCTGAAATGCAGTAAACGACAAATTTGTCCAAACAAACCTCGTGCCTCGATAGCTTTTAGTGATTTTTAAAAATACGAATTATTTAAAATTTCCTACAGGGATTTTTCATTCTGAGGTGGTAACATACTTACTTTCAGACCCATAGCGATCTTTATTTGTCGAGGTTGATTAGAAAGTGTAGGTCTTGTTCTCTACATCATATTTTTGTGATAGATGTTGAAGAAAAAAAGCAACTCGGAGTTTCACAAGATGCAGAATGCTGAAAAGAGTGAGAAATGGCAATAGTGTCATCGTGATAACATAGGAGAATCCAATATCAATTCATTTACGATATGAAGTTCGGTATTTTTGATGTTTGTCAGTAAGCCTGGTGATCCAACTATGTAACATACATTTCGATATATTTGCTGTTTGTAAGTTCAGCTGATGGTTTCGGCGTTGTTAACTCGGTTTTATTTTAGAGCGAGAATCACTTGGAAGGAGTTAAATTTAGAGAGCTGGGTCTTCTTATTGTTTTTGTAAATGACAATTTACGATTGTTAAGCAGTTTATGCGTTAGAAAAAATGCTGATTTCGAAGATAATTTAATCAAATCCTCGTCTTTGGCTTAACAGATACTTAAAGACGTTTACGAAATATTTGTTTCTATTCACTATAGGTGAAATACTTATTTGTTTTTATCAGTTGTTTCATAGTTCAAATTGATTGATTTTAAAAAATGTGTCAACAGAGATAAGATCAGAGATACCTTAGTTCAACAATCGTTCCTTTTACGGTTCATTGCAGTGATGTCATCGTCTGCGTCATCATGCCCAGCTCCCAGTGTCTACGACACTGCGACAGAGACGTGTTTCTGGCGCGTGTCCAGTCTTTTGACGGCCACACTTAGTATGGCAGAATGTGTAAAGGACGGAGGCGTTCTTGCTGTCATCCCTGACCAGTCTACACAACTGTTTATACAGACGCAGTATCACACAGAACTGGAGTCTGGGTATTAAATGTTAAGAAATCAGTGATGATGAATCCTAAAAAAATTATCATACTCTAGTAAATACATTAGAGTAGTGGTATATTGATGTACACGATTGGAGATTATTTACAATTTTACAATCTACATATTGATGTCAGTGACTATATTCGATAAATAATTAATTTTTGTAGGTACAATACGGTATTGAACTAATTCTTTGATAACCATGAGGTACCTCCTGAAATCAGAATCATCTAATGCTTGATGTAAAACAATTATCTGTGTTATCTGAGTCGGTGTACAATGCGCAAGGATATAAAAATGATTGGTTATTATAATCATGCACATTAACCCTACATTACAGTACTCTTGTGTCATATTTTAATACTGCCAGAAAACAAATAAACCTGCTCTGTTTGGACTAAAAAGTTTACAATAGACACACAATTAAATTACTCTAGTAGGACTCGTCAGGGATGCTAAGGACCTGGAATTGGAATCCTAAGAGCCGATAGAGGTTATCAAAATTGATCGAAAGAAATGTCAAATTAAGATGGGAAAGTGACATACTTAGCAATGTAATCATACCAATAAATGAATGTAGATAATAACATCCCATGTTGCTGCAACGTGTTTGTAGTCAAAGAAAAAGTCCGCGTAACCTGCTGCCACCTCTTTATTTGTAAATCATGCAAACAGTGCCACACATGAACCCCCTATCCGGTTTTTTAAAATTTATTTCGAGCATTTTTTATTGACTTTGACTCATCGGTTTCGGATATCTGTGCTCCGCTAGCTTCACTGACGTGTCCTAGATGACTGAAACAGACGTAGATCAATTTGTTATTTGGCGATAGTGTTTTTAATTGTAAATTTGTAGTAAATGGTACCAACACTTGGCGATGAGTCTTTCGTACACTTTTCAGTTCGGAGAAGTACGTTGGGTACTGGATTGGTGTTACCGACGCTCGGACAGAAGGAGTGTTTCAGACGTACGACGGACAAGCACAAACATACACCAACTGGAAATCAGGAGACCCTAACGACAACAATATGCCAGCCCAAGACTGTGCCAGGATGTTCCCCATGGAAACACCGGGGTACCGGTGGCAGGACAGATCATGTACCGAAACAGCCCCTGGACTATGCTCACGCCAAATTCGTGAGTTCACTCGCGAGCATAAACCAAGATATTTGATGCAGACATGTCATAATTATTCAACTGCAATATTTGTATATTGGACACAATTGTTGCCGTTTAAGAAAAATCCCAAATACAAGGATAGTTTCGTATCATAATTAGGCTCTTATTGTATATTACAACAGAAACGGGTCTGGCAAAAGCTGGCAAGAATAAGCAATATCTATCAGTGATCTAAGCAAAAATAATAACTTTATAATTTCATATAGGGAAAAGGGATATAAGGAAGACGGGCCAAGAGACTGAAATACTTTAAAACAAATCTTTCACGATTTTATACTCGTTTTTAAATGTTATATATGAATTTTTCTAATATTCATTGATTCAGAAACTACAACCACTGAGAAACAAGCAGAAACAACAATTGATGAAGACACAACGGTGACCTCTACGACCGCAAGTGATGTCAAAACAACTGCAGAAACTGAACTGACTACCGAGCCATCAATGGAGACGAGTGAGATGACGTCATCAGTGACATCAGACATTACAACTACGTCATCACTTTACACTCAATCAACGTCAGAGACAACCGAAGCCACTGGCACGTGTTCAGCGTGTAGTGAGTATTACTTCATACTTTGCTAACAACCTGAATTTCTAATCGTCATGATAACTCATGCATGCGGTACCTAACATCATACTTACTTTCCAGACTAACGGAGATTCGAATGTGCAACTCAGGCACCAAGTTGTTCCTTATCTTATATCCCTTCATTGAGAACCCGCCTTTATTTGACATTTGTATTATAAGTTTCTGCATATTTTAGTTAAGACGTTGTAACTAAAAGACGTAAGAACAATGAAACGATAACTTCATTTTTTTAGGTCTTACATCCTCAATGAAATTGCTGATTGTTTTCGACAGGTTCGACGGAGCCGAACACGACTTGTTACTGTACCTGTAGTCCCTACCTAACACTGGACGACCCCTTGGTGAAACAGAAGATACAGGAACTTATTGACACACTGTCCATACCCAAGAAAAACACGTCAGGTAGGATCTACCAATAGAATGTACTGTATACGTTATCTGCTATAATTCACGTACAAATACAAACAAATGACAATGGTAGATAGTTTTAAAAACAGGGTTTTATTTCATTTGATTAAACAGCGTATAATTCAAAAATCTGCAAAACCACTGCCATTTGATTGAAGAAAAGACACACAAGAGAAAAGTGTTGTTGAGTACAGATCTAAAATCAAGCACACCTTATATGGTCAACTATGAATTGCATAGAAAAATGATTGAGCCTGGTCGATACTAAAAACCTTGGTGATAAATAAAAATGTCGTTATAGTTTCAGATTTCAATACTATTGTTTGTATAACAGTTTGTTATTAAGATGGAAGGTTACAAACGCTGATCACAATTCACCTTGCAGCAAACAGACGGAAGTACATCAGTGTCGCAGACAACAGGCCGAGTGCTAGAGGGATCGGATATGTTGGAGCCGCCATACTGATGGCCGCTTTAGGATCAATTATCCTGCTGGATTTATCTACCTTCTTCCGTCACGTGAAACATCTGACACTGAAGGCCAGAGGTCGCGAGGAGAGTCCACGTGTCAGCTGGGCCATACGGCATCAAAGTTGGACATAATGACATTAACGTCAAACAATAGTTCTTTATGATGAAATAATATCAAACAATGTTTCTGTAGGACAACTATACATTGCCTGATCAAACTGTACACGTCACAAATATAAGAAACAAGAGACAAGACAACTGTGTTGGTTCTGTACTCTTCTTCGAGTCATTCTCGTAGTTACAATTAGTAAAGTGACATCGAATTTGCTTTGATTATTCCAAGTTTAAGCAGTCATGTATTAAGTCTCGACCAGTTCTAATGTGTTGAAACAGTAAAAAAAACATACCTGATCCGTAACTGCCAATGACAGTATTTTTGCATTTTAACATTTTTTCTGGATAACGAACACGAAACGAAATAGAACATATTCTGACGGAAGTTTTCGAACACATTTTCTTATTCAAAAAGAGTAGTGTGTTAAAATATCATTTCAAAGCCAGAACAATAGAAATATTTACAAAAGACACACATAATTATTTTTTATAGCCGAGTGTCTAAAAATAATGGCAACCCGAGACAAGTCGCTCTCTAAAACAGAACCAGTATGACGACGAACAGGCGGGCATCTAGCTTTTTTATAACACAAATAGAAATAAGGCATTTACTTTAAGATTATGGTTACCAACAAATTGACTCTTTCCTGATCTGATTTCTCGAAACTGGTGTTGCAGTTTTCCTTTCTTCATTCGACATTTATCAAGGTTATCTCGATATAAGGAACACAAATGAAGTAATAAATCAACTCTGATATGCGAGTTACCGAAGTCTGTGAAGCAGGTGCGTTCCTATGTATAAATGGAAATTTCGCGATCTGAAGTTTTAGATCGAAACGTTTATCCTAATTCCCAGTGGTAAGGTTTTCCTATTGTTTATGTCTAGATTAAACTTAGGGTCGATGTCGATGTCTCGGATGTGTTGAATTTCAAAGTATCTTTTAACAGCGAAATTGAAAGAATGTGAATGGGCGGCATTGCCTGTCGAGATCTATGAAAAATTCAACCTTGATCAATACTTCGCATGAAATCCATAGGTACACCGTATATCTACTTATTTAATTATCAAACTACAAAATCGTTTATTTTCAAATGACACAATGAAATAAATCGGTTACTCGTACTCGTTATCATGAATTTAACATAAGTACATTCTATAGCTCGTATTATCAAGGGAGAATTTCATGAAATGCACGAGATGTGTTCCCAACATATGCAGACACGTAAGACCATACTTTATTTTTATACGTCAGATAATTATCTCTACATACCGAAATATTTATAGGTTGGCCTCACAAACTCTCTAGCCTGGAGCAACATTCATCATCCCGATATCTTGTTATTTTAAAACAACAGCGGTAAGACGGATGACATTAATCTGACAGGCGTGTTATGTCAAGTAGACAATAAATACAACAAAAACAATATAAACACCTCTTCGTCTTTAATATGAAAATATAGTTCCATTGTAGATTTAAATGACGTTTATCTATCAGCTCAGCTTCAGATCACCATAAGCTGAAATCGTCCAGCTCTGTGCGTTAGAAATAAGCAGAGGGGGGACCACTTATCTTCGACATGTTAAGCAAAATATACGCAAGGGACTCAACTTGTTCACGTAAATGACATTTGATAAAATTAGGAATACATAGAAGGATTTCATCTATCAAATGTTTTAACGAAGACACATGGTGAAGAGCAATCCTGATATGGAGATTGTTATGCCCGAGAAAATGAATCTGTAATAAGGTATTCATATAAAGAAGATATTTCGTTGTGATTTCGTTTTAAATTAGAAACGGACAAGTCGCTGTATAGTTTCTTCTATTCGTGACAAGATAACCCCTTTCAGTACAGCCATATGACTTATCAAACCATATACAGACCAGCTCTCAATCTCTCCCAGAGTGCGATGCGGCACCATGTGACTATCAGGAACGATAACTCTCTGGTAGAGGTTGACCAGCGTTAGTACACAGGTACGAATTATTCCTTAACAATCTGTCAATGTACGATCTGACTATAAAATAGACTATCACTTTGATTATTCATATCAGAATTGAATCAGCTGCTCGTCACTGCAGAAACCATTGCACAATTCGTAAAACAAAAGGATTGCTTATGATCAAACAGTTTATATTCGTTGTCAATAACGACGATAAAGGTATGAGAAGTTCTCATGATCTACATTATATACAAAATGAGAGCACAAATCAAAGAATGTATACACCATGGCAAACGTAATGAATGTTTCTGAAGCTAAAATGATTCGTCTGTACAATGTTTCTGGTTCATCTATATCTTTTTTTCTGTTTCTATGTATCTGTTTATCAATGCTGATCTCCTTTTTCTAGACTCATTGTCTAAATAAATTTAAGTGTTAGGATTAGTAATTGTGATTAAAGTCCTAAATGTTTTAAGTACAGAAAAAAATAATCATTCTAAAATCGAAATAGGAAATAAACTGTTTGTTAATACTTGTGTTCAATACAAAACCCACTTTTATAAGATAATTTTCTATTAATATTTTAGAGATTAAATTTAAGTGCATCAAGTAACAATCTACTACATTGAAATATTACATTTGTTTATCCTTGTGTTCGATGCAGAAAATAAACCAAATGCTGAGTATTTTCCAACAGACAGTTGGTATAAAATAGAGTTTAAACAATCTATGTATGCAACTAATCTCAACAACATAAAACAAATCATACTATTAAACTCTCTAAACTCAAGTAGGCTCATTCCTTGTAACAAAGGTAACAGAGTACGTTACAAATGTACATCATAGTTGTTATAAAAGTACATATCATAAATATAACAATGGAATTTTATTTAAAATAGCAATGCCCTAGTTGAAAACACATTTCATGGTGACTTTCAAAGCAATTACAAATCAAAAATGAAAATTTCAAAAACGTTTTTTTTCTGAAAGATTTTGTTCCCTAATGACAAAGAGACATGGACATATAATTTTAATATCTATGTGTTAATTTCAACTTCAACATTTTGTCTTCAAGCAACACTGAATGGAATTTACCATCTAAAATTGTGGAATATGGTCGGTTAAAAAACATCATAACTCATTCCTCTGTATATAACCAGTGTTGTAATTTATAGCCTGGTTCACAATAATAATGCATATTTTATCAGGAACAGGCAAGGTATTTAGAAATATTTTTAAAATGTAGACCTAGACATGATTGTTTACTTCTAACAATAGATAAAATAAACCATCATCCCCACTGTCACAAGTTAATCGTCCAAATCGACACAGAGTGTCGGGGTAGAGATGGATTATATTTCCCATGAATGGAAGTTCTGTGATAAATAGAATATTACACTTGTATCAATGCCATACTGAATTATAAACTTGTTAAACAATTCCATCTGCCATCCACTTGTAACATATCAAAATCCTGTAATCAACAGGTTTATCTTGTTTAATAAACTCCACAATAATTCATTTAACTCCTTATCACATCCTTTTCCTGATAAAAACGGTCGACAAGGTTGAAAAGGTTGAAAATTTCAAGACTACTTCAAAATTTATGTATGTATTTAAAACAAAATCACAAACACCATACAAGTTCTCACTCCCTGGAAACCTTTCCATGTAAAAGGGAAATAGTATATGTTAACATCAAATATGTCCTGTTTAGGTATATCATAATGTTGTATATATTAAGAATCTGGTCATATTTAACAAATAAAACAAATGTGTTCTGCATGAAAATTCAAGTGCTCCAAAATATAAATATATAGATTTGTATACAATAAATACACATTACATATATAACCAAGCTACATTAAAAGCCATCGCCTAAAGGTAGTTGCAAGCCTAGAAAATATTAGCTGTGTTGATTGTATATATAATTGTAATCACACTGTAACATTTTAAATAATAACACACTTCATTATGCAGAACACTAAACAGTTTCCTAAAAAGTGAATAGCTCCGCAACAATGCTATAAAAATGCTTAAGGACACCAGCGGCTGAAAAAAACTAGAAACCATGACAGTAAGCTAGCTTGATTGTAAGAGTTATTGAGACAGAGATGGATCAGACGTAAAAAGAAACACAGGATAACAGGACCTGCTGCTTAAAAAAAATCAGATCAAAGATTATAAAACAAAAATAAGTAAATATGGAAAATGAATGCATTTAGATGTCTGATAATCAGTATATATATGTATAACGATAAATATCAACAGATCTTACCTCTTCTTAAAAGCCTTGAAACCTGCTTGGGGTTAACAAATCGTACAGATTAATCAGGATTAATATTTTAAAATGCAACAGCTAGGGTCATCAGGAGACAAGAAGAGAAAGTAGAGAGAATATGTAATAATTACTTTTATAAAAAATATGATCCAAAATCTTTCTATGAAATCATAATGGTGCGATGTATTGGAAATTCCTTTATATAAGTAAAAAGACATATATTCACCAAATTAGGATTTCTACATCTGTTGGTAGATATAAAGGCACTTGTGTAGACAAAAAAGGTAACATGAATGGACAATATTGTCATAAATAAAATATGAGTAAACAAATTGAAATTTTTAGAATCATATGGATATATATCATACATCACATCCTTCCAAAATATGGTTTTGGATTTTGCTAAAATTGTATGACTTGATCCTGTGTATGACAATAAAGAAATGGGAAAAAAATTAAATATTTTGACGATTGTCTTTTTCTTGTGAGTAAATTATTATATATAAATCTGTGATCACACATTACAAGGAATCAATTCAAGATTAAATCAGTTTTATAACATCTTATAATAACACTAGATATGTAATGAGATTCTATAAAATAGCAGTTTTTTACAGCGTTAAATCCATCCACTAAGGATGATTATGGATGAACGTAATAAATCTCTATTTAAATGATAATAGTAGTCAATGCATGTTCCAATCTTATTTATACGTTAAACATCTGGTATTTCCCGTAGTGTCATTTTCAGTATTTTCTTGCCTTTTAAAAAAATATAAACTTTAATCAGTTCCAATTGCGAAACAAGTTATGCACTAATCACTCTTGTTGGCCCAGCGCGCAGGATAGAACCCGGGGAAAAGAAGTCAAGGACTGAAAATACTGCGCCACCGGACCACCCTTTTAATCAGTTCCATCAAGGCACCACCCACAGGATAGAAAGAAGTCAAGGACTGAAATACTGGAGTCCTTAAAGTCACTGACTTTAATTCCTTTTTTACAAGGCTATATCATTAAGTATCTATTCAGTCTTGCAATGCTTCTACTAACAACTTCACAACCGAAAAAAGTAAATCCATGTTCCAGGTAATATATTACTTTCTAAACCAAATTGGACATGATCATACATGTATAAGTATATTAAATACTTTCCTTGTGCAAAATGGTTTTGACTTTTTTTCAAAACCAACATTTTTCTAAGAACAGGGATCTTTACATGGGATAACTAAAAATGTAGTTAACCTACTGGATATGTCACAACAAAGAATTGGTAAGTTCGTCGGTTTGATAATCATAAATTAACACCAAAAAAGGCATTAAAGTAACATTTACATTAAGGAAAATATCTCATATTTTAACTGATCAAAATAAAAAAAATAATTCAAATCATTTTCCGAAAAGATACAGATCACATATACTGAAAAAGACAGAACCATTGGAAAGACTCTTCGACAAGAGTGAAAATAAATAAGTTCTACAATGTATAACAGTGTTTCTAAATACTTATGTCTACACAATCTCAGAGACACCTCATTGTTTAAATACATGTAAATTACGATATTGAATAAAAATGTATAGAAATGAAATTGACAGAGAACTGATCTAAAATCATATCTTTCTTCCAAGTAAAACATATTCAGAGACAAAAGAGCATGAAGGAAATGATTACAAGCTGTATTGATACCCGTCGGCCTCAAATCATTGCTTAGTGTATACTCTATTTAGGATTGCCATTTGCTTTTCTGAATCAAAATCTGCTCTCGAAGATTTCTGGAAAAGTGGACCAACATCAGCTGCAACAAGAAAAACACAACTATTTAGGAATCAATTCTACGTCTAGTTTGTAATATCTCCCATTGTATTCATAAGTCATTAAAATTGCTGAAGTGCTTAGGACTAAAATTTTAACAGAATGTTAAGATTTTGGTATATTATCAGTTCAGGTAGTTTTGTTATAGTGAAACCAATCTGTATTGGTTTGTTTGGGTTGGAGAGAAGAAAAGGCACTTGTTTTAGTAACGTTCCTTAATTTCAAATAAACCATTTGTAGGAAATAATTTCTAATTAACAACAGGAAATTAAGGAATGTCAAGAATACTTAATTACAGTGCTTATGCCAATTTGTTCTTTTTTACTTGAGGTATATTTGACCTTATCATAATTAAACTGTTCACAGTCATAGTGCTCGTATTTTTTAATTTGTTACCTGAGGTACAAGTGACCCGATCATTACGCCACCCACGACAAGTATGTTGTTCATGAGATAGGTTCGTAACACCCATAAACAGCCGCCTTTGTTGATTTTTGGAGCAAATTTGGAATTCTGTACGAGAAAATTATATCATTCATGCTGAATTATGAATTAAAGAGCAGTAAGTCTGTAATCAAAGGTAACTGTTGATAAACAAGATATCAAAACAGAACAGTGATGATAACAATTTTAAGAAACCCTTATAGTAGACATATTTCTACAATATTTTCACAGTGATACATCAATGTTACTGTTCCTCTATACCACTTACCTATCAAGGAAACCTAATTATAGATACATTGATATACAATGTTTATACTTATACAGAAAGTTTGCCCTAAGAAATTCCAATAATATCTTCAATTATATATACTATGAACTGAAAATGGTTTTCTTGGTTAGGCCAGCTTCCTAATTTTTGAAACCAATTAATCAAACTAAGACAGTCCTTGAGTAGGAATCATTTAATAGGTAAATATGTTTGACAGAATCTATTGGTAAAGTTTGCAAAATCTGAGTTAAAATGGACAGACATAAAAACATCATATAAAACCCGATACTTACAGCCTGCACATCACTCTGAGCTCCTGCTCCACACAGAAGGTTGATAGCATCACCCTGAAAAAGAACAATATTTGTATACAATTATAATCTGAACATATTAACACAATGTTGATAGCATCACCCTGATATTGAACAATTTGTATACCATTATAATCTGAACATATTAACACAATGTTGATAGCATCACACTGAAATAGAACAATTTGTATACCATTATAATCTGAACATATTAACACAATGTTGATAGCATCACCCTGAAATTGAACAATTTGTATACCATTATAATCTGAACATATTAACACAATGTTGATAGCATCACACTGAAATAGAACAATTTGTATACCATTATAATCTGAACATATTAACACAATGTTGATAGCATCACCCTGAAATTGAACAATTTGAATACCATTATAATCTGAACATATTAACACAATGTTGATAGCATCACACTGAAATAGAACAATTTGTATACCATTATAATCTGAACATATTAACACAATGTTGATAGTATCACCCTGAAATAGTACAGTTTGTATACCATTATGGTTTAACCAGTTTAAGTATGCATTCACTGTATAAGTTTTCCCATGATCATAATCTCTTAAAATTATGTTTATATATATATATAAAACTTTAATTGTTTCTATAAAGTGATAGATAATGGAACAGTTATAGTCTGTTTCTATAAAGTGATAGATAATGGAACAGTTATAGTCTGTTTCTAAGAAAGGATAAAATTAGCTCCAGCTACAATCTATTTCTAAAAAATGATAGATACATTTAATGCTTAGTATTTTTTTAAAAAACTAGAGACATAATTACAGCTATAGTCCATTTCTAGGGGATAACTTATACAGTTCCAGCAAAAACAATGTATATTGTATGTTTCTAAGAAATAGTTGACATAATTATAAATATATCAGCCCTAGAAATAAAGGCATTGAAAGTACATATGACAGTTATAACACTGTATCCATCTGTGTATGTTGCTATTATGAGACTGTGTGATCATGTGACTTAAATTGTGTCATGTGACTAGATCTGTGTGCTATTTCTCACCTGTGTAAGAGGTGGTTGTGTGATGTGGGAGTCTGCCTGGTCATGTCCATTTGTATGTGTGTATTTTTCCGTTGTGCTGATTGAACCCTGATAGGTTTAACTTACATTTTAATTACATAGGCTGACTTTAACAAAGTGTGAAATGGAAACAAAATTAAGTTCCTACATGTATATGTGATAAAACTGAACTGTTTCTTAGCCTCCAAAAAATGGGAGAAAATTTGGAATTCAAATAACATATTTTCATGTTTGTTGTTGTATTGTAGTGTGTAATCATTCTGAGAGTAATAAATTACTATTATACAATTAATATTTATGTAACTTATCACTAAATGCATTACTAAAACACAACAGGAGTAGGGAACACCACATTTACTTACATCTTCTATGATACAACAGGACTAGGGAACACCACATTTACTTACATCTTCTATGATACAACAGGACTAGGGAACACCACATTTACTTGCATCTTCTATGATATAACAGGAGTAGGGAACACTACATTTACTTACATCTTCTGTGATACAACAGGAGTAGGGAGCACCACATTTACTTACATCTTCTATGACACAACAGGACTAGGGAACACCACATTTACTTAAATCTTCTATGATATAACAGGAGTAGGGAACACCACATTTACTTACATCTTCTATGATATAACAGGAGTAGGGAACAGCACAGTTATTTACATCTTCTATGATACAACAGGAGTAGGGAACACCACATTTACTTACATGTTCTAAGATAAAACAGGAGTAGGGAACACCACATTTACTTACATCTTCTATGATACAACAGGAGTAGGGAACAGCACATTTTTCAAAACTGTTATTTTCCGTGGAACAGTTGAAATAAGGATTTGCATTCCAGTCTTTGTAACCTTCAGCACTGTCACTGTAACCACAGCAACCCAACTGTAAATATAGAATATAAGTATGTCATGGATACAGATAAAGATTTTATCAGCTTATACACGAATGCCTGCCGGTGAACCTGATTTTTCATACTATTAATGTATGTACATGGTAAGTACAACACTGTTTTAAGTCTATGTAAATTATTGTATGTTTTTGAAACTCAGTATTTTAATTTTGTAACCTTCTAATCCTTTTTATCAAACACACAACATATATCTCTTTTTCATTTACATACAAGAGGTATCAGATTCTCATATCTATATCAAGATTTAATTTCATCTGATAAAATGAAGTATTTGTATGATTTCTTTCTGAATATGAAAAACTTAATTATTTTCTACACAATATTAAATACTTTAACAAAATATGAAAAATAATTCGTAATAATAATGAGGTAAATTGATCCAAATAATTAAACCTTTCTTGACATCTATGCAATAAAAATATCGTTTATTTTCATTCTCACATCTTTCTGGGTGTTGTCAATAAAATCTTGCATGTCTGGGTCATCACGATATTTGATGATTGCATCTTTCAATAAATCTTCTGGATAAATACCAAAATTCTTGAAGATGTCCGGGGTGAAAGTGAATATGAAGATAAAGCAGATGATGACAAGTTCTAAGAGGATAAAGATGTTCACCGCAATGTAGTACTGCAAAAAAAAAAATTAGAAACCGTCAACTCACAATAAAGCAGTAGTGAAAACAAAAAGTATTAAAACTGTTGACTCACAAACAAGGGAGAGCTAAACAACAATCCATCATATCTATAGCTGAAAATAATCTCATGCCTTGTTTTGTTTTCCATGCTCATAATCAGAAAACATACTAACAAAGGCTGCTTCATTGTCTTGTAATAAGCCCACCCCTATATTTTGTAAAAGTTAGAAATAGCATATCCTATGATTCAAATGCATAACAGTAGTAATTTTGTACAGGTTTCCAAACATTCTGTCAGGATTGGCCCTTTTTGATATTTATACAGAATCTCTTTAACGTCTTTACAGATTCAATTTTTGACAAAGCAAGGTAAATGACATTGATATCTATTTACTTTCAAATGTGACATCAAAGTTAAGGCTATATGCTACCTTACACATCATTTGTAATTTGTGTTAGACTGAGAGTTAAGGATATATGCTATCTAACATATTACTTTCAATTTGTGTAAGCAATTTTTCCCTTATGAAACATGAACTTTATCTGATAATTTAGTATTACCTGAATTTTATCACTGCAGGGCTTTAGGAAATTGACAGGTTTGTGATGACATGAAGTAAAATTGTAATGATGAGTAACTGGTAGCTTGTGAGGATATGATGAAAAGGTGGAATAAAAAACTTCAAAGTTAAAGTATTAGAGTAAAAATTAGTGACCCTAAGTCAATTTTTAAATCGAATAATCTAAAAGAACTTACAGTTCTAAGGAATGCAGTGATTTCTCTCAGCGATCCAATGCATCCCAGAAATGATAAGACAGTCCCAATCGCCCCTGCTATCACAAGCCATACTGAAGGGTCAAATAAGAAGTCAATGAAAGTAGATACGCTTTTCTCCTTCAGAACCAGGATGTAGATACCAAATCCCAATAGTAAAGGAGACACCACCTGTTAAAATATCCAACAACATCTGTATATCAATATCTTACAGGACATTTACATAATGAAAGTGTCCTGATTCAGTGTTAGTTCCTTGTGATGGTATTTACTGTCTGAAATTATAAACCAAACAATTTATCATAGACCTAAATATGACAGCTCTCTAAATATATGCACATAAAAATACTGACTTTGTTACTTTTTTCAGTTTAGCATGATGTAGTCAACAACAAAAAATAATAACATGACATCATTTATCTTTTATACATCTCTATCTACACGAAGTTCCATCAAAATAATCATTTTCTTATCTTAAACGATTTGTACCGTATATGAGTATGTACATCCCCATGGATTGCCTCGATCGATATATATATATATATATACATTACCTGTATGTTGGCTAAACGTGACTATCAATTATTTAAACTAGTACTGTTACCAGATACCAGGTGTGATAATACATAGGTAAGCCTGCCTTTCTCATACTAATCAGGTATTCTATAATGGTCCACTAGAAATCTACAAAACAAGTTTATTCTACTCTAATATGCCTAGTCCATATAAGGAATTTTGTTAATTATTACTCCTTAAACCAACAATGTTGACTAGAAACATGTTAACACACTGTTCGTGTATCATAGTATTACTCATTGAAGAGACTTCCGGGATGACAGAAATCTTTATGTCATGTATGTTGAATAAGTCTTTTTATCCGTCATTCTCCAGTACACAGTTTACCTATCATAAACCTAAGATACTCACTAAAACGGCAAAGTTGGCGAAAAATACGAAATATTTCCCACAAATACTGATCTCACTTCGATCAACTCTGCTTCTCGGCGCCATGACCGTGGTTTGTAAATAAACTGTGATTTTTCTCTGTATTGCACAGTCAAACCAAAGGTGTAACGAACGGTATGTTGGCGATCTGTTTCTATTTTTAGTTCCAAAGCGATACGCCCAAGGATATGTCACGTGTCGATTAGTAAACAGATATTACAGGGCGGAGCATTCAAAGAAGACTGAACGTCTCATATATATCATAAAAACAAGAATATTTGGCTTTATCTTATACGTTTGTAAAACCGCGTTTAACTTTCGATGAATCTGACAAGGTACTGGTTAAAAGCTAGCATTACGCTTGTTTGTTACCAAGTCTGTGGTTAGACCTGTACTCGTACATCTGTGATCTAAACCCCTTACGAAAGACCGTGGTCTAATGAAGTCGATATATATCAACTACAATAATGAATAAACGAGAACACAGTATTCGTGACAATGTAAACCGCTACAGTTTGTGAAAGACTGGGGAGGGGGATACACACTTCGGCTTCGACAGGAATCGGACCTAGGCCTCCAGCGTGATAATCTTACTTCGCCAAAGAAGTTATTGCTCGTTATTTGACTCGATGTACAAACCAACCTGCTCCTTTAACACAATGTAAATGTAGCCACGAAAGTACAGTGATAATTAACTGACGTCATTCGGTTTCGGGACCTTTATGTCTCAAATTTGATTTGGTCCTTAGATGTGCCTTTTTTATCTTTATCTTTTTTTATCTAATAATGACTCTGACAGTTTGTTATCGCCATTCCTTGAGAAGGACGGGATTTGTCTTTCTCAAATTTCATATGTAGGTTCCCAGTTGTGCCTGTTTGATTTAGGCACAGGAAACAAAATTGCTGACAGGCGACCGTCTTTGATTTTGACAATGAAATATTTTTGTTCGTTATTTAAGAGGTGTTCTCAATTTTCATATCATCAACATGAGAGCAAATAAGAGAAAAGAAGGTAAAAGAATAAACTTTTAAAGAACAAATGAATACTAAACAATGGTGGTCGTCGTGGATTTGTTCTCTTGTCCCTGTGATGAGTTGACTATTGTCTTGTATCTAGAAAAATATTTATTTTCGAGTTTGTTTGGTGAGATTGTATTACATAGTTAATGACACAAATTATTATTTGGTTTGATGAGATCCGATTGTTGACTTATTGGGCTAGTATACCTCTCTATCTATATCTAACCTAAACCTTGATTTTGGACAGTTTGGATTTTTCTTGTTCGACCTCCAGATTTCCGCAGTTAAATTCGTCAGATGGTGGGCTCACCAAATCGTCCTACGTGAGTGGCCCGTCCGTCCGTAAACAATCCTATCACAATTTCTTGAGAAGTACTGGATGGATCTTTCTCAAATAGTAGGTGTACGTTTCCCTTAGTCCCTTGTTATTCCCGCTTGATTTTAAGACTGGTTAGAAAAACAGAATGGCCGACAGGCGGCCATCTTTGATTTTGACTATGAAAGTTCGTTATCGGTATTTATTGAGAAATGCAGGGTAGATCATGCTCAAATTTTATATGAAGGTGTTGGGTCTGATCGGAAAAGAAAATTGCTGACGGGCGACATTGGACTTGACAGTTACAAATTAGTATATCTCTTTCTTCAGAGGAATCACCGCTCTTATTATATATAATCAGGAGCAAAGACAGAAGAAAGAAGGGATAAGATTCCATTTTTATAGAAAAAATAAAGATCAAACAATAGTGGGCGCTAATATCCCTCTCTTACCTCTTGTTTTACAATACAATATAAACAGTTAACAGTGTTATTCTCTTTTGTTTTTACTATTGTTACCTATTTAGCAAGACAAATATTGTGTTGTGTTGTCCATTTAATGATATGTTAACATAGTATAATGTATTTTCTAACACTACCCGTCTTGTTCTACACAGTTCGTTTAATGAAATGGAATGTATTTATTTCACATTTAATAAGGATAGATTATTATAATTATTTATATTGACAATTTAAATAACACCAGATCAGATTATGCACACGTACTCAATATATTTTAATTGAACGATGTATTTGATCTCAATAACTAAATATATTGAATTTCTCCATTTCCAAAGCTCAAATTTTATAATATTAATTTCGTTTGTTGGTTACCTTACTTTTGACCCCTAGTATCACGGAAGATTCTTTAAATGACGAAACAGGTGTATAAGGCAATTTTATTTATTAACTTATTACTTCAATCCTATTGACAAGTGAATTCCAATCGCACAATCCTTCGTTACCTAAAGCCTAATATAAAATATGCGTTCAGAATTACCTTTGATAAAAGATAATAAGTTTTATTCCTTTTCAAGAATGTTAATGTAATACAGTAAAGAGCTTATATTCCCCAGACTATCATTATTTTTAAAAAATCAGAATGAAAGAAAGGTTTACAATTTTCAATGAGAAAATATTAACAAATACAATCTTATTTTCCAAAAAGTATACAGGGTATACATAGTAACCTGTCCTTATTCTTTAGATTGATTTTTTTTAAGTACAAATTCAGAAAAAGTGTAGATTATGCAGTTAAAGCTCTACACAATAGTTCATCAATTCAACATCAGTTGTCGATTTCTCGATTTTCCAAAAACTATCTATCACAGCTTATGCTCGATATATAGAGCATATTTAATAGTGTCTTCAGTAATAACAAATATATATATTTGTATTTTACAAGCGTCATTAACAAATCAGTATCTTTCTCCGGTGCGAAACACGGGTGAAAGATGTAATAGACACACTAGTGCTTACTCGTCATGAACAACTGAGCGGAATTTTGGTCTAAAATATCCTTAGTAGAAGAGAAAATGATTTATGTATTAGCGGAGGACCTCGCATGCTTGGATGAAGGGAAATCATTTTCTATAAACGTTGGGTGTCGGCGCCCTCGGGTAGGAGGGATTGGGCCTTTAAGTGGAAATAGTGCAATTTCTTTCTTTAAATCTTTCTTCTGTTGAAATGATTCAGATTTGTCAAGATTTGATACGAAGCATCATTGGTGAATCCTGTTTTTGAGAGGAGGGATTGTGATGGGGGAATAGACACAAGTGTTTTATAAACTTTTCTTTTAGTTGAAATTAATCAATTTCAGCAAACTGAATTTGCTGAAACTAGATAGACAGAGTTGATGTAAAAACCTCATATTCAGAAAGTTGATTCGACCCTAGGGGACTTAGGTGTAACAAAAGTGTTATATAGGGGCGGAGGCCCAAAAGCGGAAATTGGGAAAGATTTACTTTAAAACGATACTCCTTCTTAATTCCTGTGTAAATTTCCATCCAAATTTTGTCTGAAACATTACAAGAGAGTGGCAATGATATCAAACGTGCGAGAAGTGATCCTGAGATTGTACCGACCAAATCCTATATTTTTGCTTTGGTCCTCAGTCCAGCAAATCTCATCTTTAACGAGAGGTCTGAACCACTTCTGAAGTTTCATTCACACCACTGAAAAAGATGTTTGGGGTTTCATTTGTTAAGGAGAAGAAACAGATGATAAGTTGACGTGGTAGCCACAGCAGCCATTTTGTAACATGATTGAACAACTGTTTTTCATAAACAAAACATACCATTTATGAGTTTTTGATACTTTCTAGGAATGTTCAAAATTTGAATTCATCAGATTTGTCAGACCACCATAAGCAAAGTCTATGTTGTTTCTATCCATCCGTCGATTGTCAGATGGCCCTGGCCTATTTGTCCATGTAGAAGTCAGTGGTCTCAATATCTAAATATATACAAATCTTTAATTCACCTGTTCATTGTGGTAAAAGTAAATAATCAAGATTTTATCCACGATGTCCAGACCATCGCTTACACATGGTGCAAATATCTTTCTACACTCAATATCAGCTGACTTAAAGACACACGGCTGGAACTCCGTATGGATTAAACTCAAGGTCCAATCTCAGGCCAGACAGAGTTTTGATCTGTCTGTTTCTATTTGGTTTATTAAACGACAAGCACTTGTGATGTAATATTCTAACATTATATCACTGTCCTGCACTAAATCATCAGAAAAGAGGACCTCCTGATTAAGGCAATTTTGTTACAAATCTGATGAGACAAATCAAGCATGTATAGATCAATGAGTTTATTTGGTATCCCGTTTCAATATCCGACCGCAGACGAACCTTACCTTATAAAAATCTGATAGATGATAAACATTTACTCTTAGGTATTGCCGTAATAATGATAATCAAATATAATTAAAAAGCAGTTTGAAGGAAGAATACATGAAAACAAACATACTTATGTAACAATGTGAAATCACAAGAACATTATTTCAATAATCATTCTTGTGAATTTCTTGTATTGCACTCTTAAAACGACTTCTTATTTCTACTTCCGTGAATCAGAAAGATATGTTGAATAGAATCCGGTTTCACGATCAGCTATGTATAGATTCTGTTTTTTTTCCTTTTTTAGAATTTGTCGTTCGAAACATTTAAAGGGGCTCGTCTTGGCACAGACGTCAGAACGTCGACTTGTGAGTCATTTCTAGCTCTACACCACAAGAGCCGACCGAAGGCCGTCCTGTACTCAGGACTCGACATGGCATAAACAAATGGGTTCATCATGGAGTTGGCGTAGCCGAGCCAGAACACTATATCCCAGGCTAATTCCGGTATCACACAAGATGAGCAAAGACTACCTGTTGACAAAGACACAAAGTTAATTTGAAATGATTTTACTAAATATTTAATTTGTCCACACTGAAACTAGATTCAATCTTGGAGTATCAACACAAATGGACAAGAATGTAGACAGATAAAAAGAGTAAATTGTCCCTCTACCAAACTCATCGAAGACGAAACCAACTAAAATTTAATCATTACACCGTGACTTTTAGCGTATTTTCACAAAATCAACTCAACTATTGTTCACGATTAAATGTTTGGTACCGACGTTGAGCTTTCTTAATTCATGGTTACAATATGGCACATTGCTTACAGAGCTGACATTCATATTTACTATAGATATAATATCATATATATATTCTAATTCCATGAAGTTGTTGATTAAGTAAAATTACTTATAACTAACTGACATAATCATGTTTTGTTCAGAAGTTTTTAAAATACTTGTATGACAACAGAAGCATCGAAGGTTGTTTTATTTGTGGAATACAAACATTTTGATTGAGGAATTTCGTAAAACATTCTTTACAGATACATTTCATGCTAACATTATAATTGGCTCAATAGAATAGTGATTCTTGAGAAGTATAATAAAATACGTACCGAAAGGATATACCAGTATAAATGGCATCCAGCAAATTACAAAAATTCCCAAAACTTTACCGAAGGTTTTCGCAGCACGGACTTCCATCCTAATTTTTGCAATTTTTTTCAGAAGCAATGCCTGGTTCGGACAGTTTGAAGTCACCATACTTATATGTACGTCTTGGGAGGAACCGGAAATAGAGGAGCTAAAACTTGAACCACATCCGCTGTCCACGTCTATGTCTATATTTGATGGAATCATATTTTTTGAAATGTCAAAGATGTGTTTACGTGCTACTAAGTATATTTTGGTATACAGGCACATAACGATAATGGAGGGAAGGAAGAAACCGAAAGCACACGATTCAATTACGTAATACACATGTGTGCTAATCCCGCATGTTCCGTCAGCCGATGGGGGTTGTCTCCAGCCAAACAACGGGGGACACGACACACACCAAGCTATCAACCAAACTACTATCACCATAGCTACCACCATCCGGTCAGTCATTATGACATTATACCTCAAAGGGCGGGTAACTCCGATAAAACGGTCGACAGCTAAAGCACATAAAGTGTAGAGAGAGGAAATGCAGAGCAGTGAGTCACCTACAGCATGCACAACACACCATTTCTCCCCGAAAGGCCACAACACGATTTCGTTATAGGACGAGAAGGGGAGAATGAATATTCCCAGGCCAAGATCAGCCACTGCCAAGTTAATGACAAGGTATCGTGTCGGTCGCCGTGGTTTTGGTAACCTTGTTACAGCCAGCAGGACGAAAATGTTACCCACTATTATTATTATGGACATCAGACTGAGAAAGATACTCAAAAAGACCAGACGTTCCAAGGAGGCATCGTCATTTTCTAGTTCAATAATTGACGATGTACAGTTATCACTATTGTCGCTCACTGTCGTAAAACTTGTTGTTGCGTTCACTACCGTACTGATTGGTGTTGCGTTCACTACCGTACTGGTTGCTGTTGCGTTCACTACCGTACTGATTGCTGTTGCGTCCATTGCCGTCATGATGTCTGCGATATTCTAGACCAACGTCGTTAGATCAACGTAGAAATATTGTTTTGATACGGTTGTTCTGCAGTCACGATCCTGATAAGGACGCGCATTAAGTGAGCAAGAACGAATTACTTTCACCTCATTCCGCTAAACACATCCCATGATCTTAAGCCCAGTAGGAATTACTTTCACGTCACTCCGCTAAACACATCCCATGATCTTAAGCCCAGTAGGCCATTGTAATTAATGTAAGTAGTACTTCAGAAAATTAATATAGTAATCTCCATGTCAACAAGACGGATCACGTGACGAGTCCGGAGGACAATGATTATATCGATGATGTATTATTCATTAAAATGTTTATTAGAAGTCTACAACTGATTGCAATTAGACAATACATTTCAATTACAAAGAACAAAAACACTTTGTTCAAGAAGATAAAATTCACCAGTTTTGCTGTTTTACACTTGGTTCTTTATGTAAGTCTGGAATGACAGAAGGACACTAATCGGGCAGGTTTTTAACTGAAGTTTCCTTGTAAAACCGTCTAAAGCTTTGCCTCTGAATGAATCAGAAAGTCAATACATCTTTATATTTTGGGGAATACCATAATATATTCACCAAGATAGCGAACACTCAGTCACAGACAGTTACATCACTGGCAACGGTAAACTCAGCGTACACGAGAGATGCAATTTTGTCTAGTTACAACCTGATGGGTTGAGAATAATTAATTAACCTAATTTTTATGTCGAATTTTCAGCAATTCGTTTAAAAAGGAATTGCAGTGACCACAAGACACTTTCCCAATACAAATTAGATTTTTCATTGAACACGGCTCTAGAAAAGTCAGCATTATTCATTTTCAACTACGAAACTGAAGTAGCCCTTTAAACTATGATCTTTATCTTTCATCCCGCTTTCGGGACGACCCTACTTGTGGCTGCGGTTATCACTCTGAAGATTCTTCTCACTACTTACTACAAAGGTGTGTATAGTGAAAACTCTATCGATCTCCTATGTAATGCTTCGATCCCTCGACAGGTATAAAGGAATTGCCGCAGGACACCTTCTCGTGGGAGATCCAAATCTGGACACCATTTTAAACATTCTAATTTGTAGAGCTATACGGTTTGTACAATATCTAGTTCTAAGCGATTTACGATAGCCAGACTAGATGGCCAGGAGACTTTTCTCTTATTCTAACCCCGCCCCTTCGCCTCACATCAACGGTCACTGCTTATGTACTTCCATATCATCCTTTATCTATCTAATCCACTGTTCAAGTATTCATTCATGTCATCTTGTGTAAATGTGAATGGTATTGTTTGTATGTATATTCTCAACCTTATATGCTGTTGCATACGGAATGAAATAAAATTTAAAAAATTGTCTCAGTTGTAAAGGTAGAATATAGAACCCTTGTTTGTTTTTCCTGGTAATCTCTGCGGGACTGGTGAGAACAAGGGAAAGGCGGCACGGGATGTGATGGAAACGCAGAAAATTGTGTGTTAATAGGCTAGTTTTATACTTACGCCGACAAGATAAGGAAAATAACACGTGATCTTCAATCAATTATTCCCACCTATATTTCAAGTATCCGGTGGTGTCCCACATCCTGTTTTTCCTATACTGCGGTAACCTCACGTTGAAATAAAAATTCTTTCATAAACACATATATATATATCTAAATTAATCTCCGGCTTTTGTGTGATAAACTACTTTTGCATGTATTTATATTTTACGGACAGGACGAAAGTAAGTTGGGATAACTTTTGTCATATTCATTTGTCTTTCGTTTGCAATAAACTTTATTTAGACTAGACTGTAATATTTCCTGGGCTTTACGGAGCTTATTGGGTGGTCGGGTGGCGCCGTAGAAACATACTCTCCTTTTGATTCCCGGAACGGACGTGAAAAGGTTTAGAGTCATCTGTCCGACTATATGGGCTTTCCCGGATACTCTAGTTTCCTCACACGGTTAGACCCTCGCGCGCATTCATCCGGGCCAACATACTTTGGAATAGCTTGTTTCGCGACTGTTGTAAAATAAAGTTGAATTTTAATTGAGATTTTAGTGTTGGTTGTTTTAAAGTGGTTAAAAGTCAACTCGGCGATTCAGAGGAAGACACCCCATTCAATAGAGCTTTAACCTCGCTGACGTCAGCTGAAGATTCGAGATATGTGACGCGATGCTTCCTACAGTACCTGTGGCAGTTTGCGTCTATCGGGAAGTTGGACCGGTTTGCTGGCGTGGTTTTGTCCTTGGGGAAGACACTTTACACGAATTGCTCTGGATGACATGCGACGGGCCTCCCGTATGTTGTACAGCGAGGTAGCCATTAGGAAAACTCCTTCTCAAAATGACAATTATTGTTCATGGGGCGATAAACCCAACAAAGTGTCCAATAAAAATAGTTCTTTTCTAGAATTTATCACAGGGGTCTGTAACAATGTTTCTGTGGATGAGAGTTTGTATGGTATACTATAACTAGTAAGCCCTCAGCGCCCCGTAACATTGTTACCAGCCTTTGCTGTCTATATACATTATACTGTGTTTATTGAGACAGTTCTGTCAGATATCATACTTCAAGAACTGTATAAAGGGTTGAAGTCATTACACTAAATGTGGGTATATTATCACCGTGTACAACCCCCATCCCGGGTTTGCTAAAGTTTGAGATTGAAAACGAGGTCAGGTAAGAAAAATGTTTCACTTCTTCATTTTATTTGACTTTTTATATAACACACGGACCCGACCGATGTCTAGAGATTTTTTCAAATAGACGTTTGAATCAACTGACTGTAGAATTTAGGAATTATGCTTTTTGTGTGTCTGTGTGTTTGAAATTACATGTAGCTTGAATTTCTGATGTATACACAGGACAACCAGATGTAGTAGCATCATGTATAAAAAGCAGTGGAGACATAATTAGCTAAGAGACAGTCTCATGTTGGTGGAGCCAAGTGAGGCCTACTTTTACACCAGGGAATCTCTTTGTTAAACCTTTAAAACTTGAAAATTGGCGGAAAACTCGTGTGAACTTCTCAACATACCAAAGATGTCGTATTTTCCCTATAACCTGTATCGTAGTCCTGTTTGTGACTATATTTAGTCACATTCACGAGGTCATTATTTTTCTGGTCATAGTCAAGGGACTTGTATGGCAATGATTCTTTAGGACTTACGGCTTATCGTGTCGAACTCCCCTCCTTACGATGTTTGTACCTGTGATACTGATTTCCCTCTTGGTCAAAAATCGATTTAAATTAACGGACCCGTTTCCTGTGGACAAGAAAGACAACTCTTCCGATGTTGAGCGTTCTGTTGGTGACAAGTACCAAATAGCGTGTCCTACTGCTCAGTTTCTGTACTCTGCCAAAGTAACAAAGGTGACACTTTTAATTGAATGATCCGTTAATGTTTTCAACTTACTTGACACTCAGCAAACTGATACATGTATTTAGATATGACATTCGATGTATTTGAATGTATGTATTTTCCGATTAATTCCAGTCTTTTTTTGTAAGGTGGAGCCAGCAGTGTATCACGTGGTTTCCACTGGAACGTCAGCTTCTCTCAATGTTCAGATCTCCGCTTTTATTAAGTGAACATGGCATTTCTTTATTTTGCTGACACGCTTTCAATTATCGGTTTATCTAAAGCGAAATTGTTTATTATATTTATTTTACAGTATTTTCTTTCATACTGTTGTTTGCTTTACTCTGTTTACAAATTCCGTACAGTAAAGTTACTGGACACATATGAAAACAAATAATTTTTAGTTCGTAAACAGCATCAGCTACATATACAACCCGCTACCTACTAGTATGAATCTATATATACACACAGGATACAATGTAATGATGAAAGTAAAAAGAAATATGAGTCCCCAGAGTAGTCAGATAAGTGTCTGGATCTGTGGAGTGCTACATGAACTGGGAATGAGAAGAGTTATTCCGCTTGTATCAGACCCTGTCTGACATGCTGTCGTTCATCGGAGACAACAGCCGTGCTCTCATTGTTCATACGTACGTAGTGTAACTGTTTAGAGTCCATAATACCTATTGTAGATATAGAGTGTACGGCAAAAAGTAAAATGTATTTCCGCTGTCTCAATTTTACTCTTTGAGAACGTAACTCCTGGGATGATGTATGAATGGATTTTACTACTTCTGAAAAAAACATAGCACACATTTTAAGTCAAGGAAGATAATTAAATTATGTAAGCTATACCTGAGTGTCACGCCAGCGGTAATTGGCCATTATGTCAGTCCATTAGATACTATACCACCCGCGAGAGATATACGGCAAATGAACGTGCATTCCGATGCACGTGTGTGCACTTCACGCACTTGACTAACAATTGATAGGCGTAAAGTTGTATCTGTATGATATTTGTATAACAATTATCTTATACCGTGTCATACATGATAATGTAGCGCCAGAAGTAGAAGTAGAATCAGCCTGCAGTGTAGAGAAGTTGTCTGAAAATGTAGAGAAGTTGTCTGACCGTGTAGATAAGTAGTCTGTCAGTGTAGAGAAGTTGTATGACAATGTAGAGAAGTTGTCTGACAGTGTAGAGAAGTTGTCTGACAGTGTAGAGAAGTTGTCTGACAATGTAGAGAAGTTGTCTGACAATGTAGAGAAGTTGTCTGACAATGTAGAGAAGTTGTCTCTGACAATGTAGAGAAGTTGTCTGACAATGTAGAGAAGTTGTCTGACAGTGTAGAGAAGTTGTTTGACAGTTTAGAGAAGTTGTCTGACAATGTAGAGAAGTTGTCTGACAGTGTAGAGAAGTTGTCTGACAGTGTAGAGAAGTTGTCTGACAATGTAGAGAAGTTGTCTGACAATGTAGAGAAGTTGTCTCTGACAATGTAGAGAAGTTGTCTGACAATGTAGAGAAGTTGTCTCTGACAATGTAGAGAAGTTGTCTGACAATGTAGAGAAGTTGTCTCTGACAGTGTAGAGAAGTTGTCTGACCGTGTAGAGAAGTTGTCTAACAATGTAG